TGAAGGACACCAGACCTTCACCCCACTTTTTTTTTCAATAAGGTATTTTTTTCATTTGGGTTTGTCTGATGTTTCTTCATGATTACATTCAAGTTATACATCCTGACTAGAATCCTGCAGAAGTGATGCTGTGCCCTTCTCAGGCTATCAATCTCGGGAGAGACACTTTAAGATCATGCAAATATCCTGCACTTCATCAAAGTATCTCCTCTGATTTAGCATCTCTTGATATTTTTGCATCAGTCATTCTTCATGTGATGGTTAGCAACAGATAATTTGCCAATTCCATCTCTCCCTACTTTTACCATTTCCTACTCAGCATTTAACCAGAATTAAGAGCTCTTCCCTCCTCTCTCTGTCTCTCTCTATTATGTGTTGATGCAGACCCATGGGTTCCTGTCTTTTTTCAGTGGTTTAAAATGTATTATTGCCCATTAAATTACTTGGGTGCTCACATACTTGGTCAGTAGGAGCCCTTTCCACCTGGTTCCTATGTCCTTGTGACATGCCACCATCATCTCTTGAGCAGTTTCTTACTTTCTTGTGTAGCAAGAGACTCTGGGCTCATTTTGTGCCTCTTTTACCCCAGCCCTGGAATCAAGTTCTTCTTTGAGGAGCCCTTTTTGTTTACAGTGGTGTATGGTATTAGACATTATAATCTGGGCACTACGTGTGCTTGTGACCACTGGAATTTTTTTCCTTCTGTGTCCTTTCAGTGGGCTAGTGGCAATACTGGGAAATATGTGCATGGATATACACATATATGTCATATACATGCATGCACGTAAACATGCACACGTGTACACATACTTTCTTTAGAAATCCCAAGTCCAGGGACTTCCCTGGTGTCCAGTGACTAAGACTCCGTGCTCCCAATGCAGGGGTCCCAGGTTCGATCCTTGATCAGGGAACTGGATCCCACATGTCACAACTAAGAGTTCACATGCTTCAACTGAAGGTCCCGTATGCCACAATGAAAATTGAAGATCCTGCGTTGCAAGCAAATAAATAAATACTTCTTTAAAAAGAAAGAAATAGGGAAAATAATAGAAAATAGCCACTAAAAAAATTTTTTTTTAGATATGCCACACCAATATTCATATCTCCAGTTTCATTCCATCCCCACAGGGTCCCGCTTGCCGTCTCCCATTCCAATATTTGCATATCTGTCTTCCAACTACATCAATACTTCTAGTAATTTGCTAAGCATTAACGTGTATCCAGACATTTTCAGAATCGCTTCACTCATTCAACTACAGAAGCAAACCTACTGAAGGGTTCAGGATTTTTTTTTTTAAATTCTACCATCCACCCCAATATTCCACCCAAGATTGGGAATACAGGTTCATAAATTGCTTGTTTGCACTTTGCTTTTTTTCACCATTTCCACTGGAAATTATTCCATGTCAGTTCTTTGAGATCATCATTCTTTCTTGTAACTGCTTAGTTACATTGACTGTACATAGCAGTTTATTCAACCAATTTATACTCAAATTATTCAACCAGTTTGCTATACTTAGACATTCGGATATATGGCAATAAAGTATCCTAATAACAAATAAAGTGGCAATGAGTAATCTTGTACGTAAATATTTTTGCATTGTTGGAGGTATATCTTCTGAATTCCTCCAAGTGGGATTGCTGGCTCAAAGAGTAAACAGATACATAGTTTTGTTAAATACTGGCAAATTTGCTGCCGGAAGAGTTGGACCATTTTTCATTCTCACTAGTGGCGTGTGAGTGCCTATTTCCATAGTCTCACCAACAGAGTATTTCATCAAGCGTTTGAATGTTTTTGCCAATCTAATGGTGAGAAACAGTATTTCATTTTATTTAGCATCATGAATGGAATTGAACATCTTTCTGTGTGTATAAGGAGTAATTGAACATTTTTTTGTGTGTTTAAGGGGAGTGTGTTTGTGTGGTCTGTCTATCTGTGTATGTGTAATGAGCTATTTAGTCATAGTTTTGCTGATTTTCCTATAGAATTTTGGTCTTTTTTTTTCCTTTAATTTTGAGTTTTACTTGTATACTAGGGACATTAGCCTTCTGTCTGTGATACACTTTACAAATATTTTCTCCTAGTTTCTCATTTGTCTTCACTGTGCCATGCAATGGATTTTTATTTTTAAGTGATCAGTTTATAAATCTTTTATTACATATGGATTGTGAGTCATAGTGAGTCATAATGCCTTTGTCTACACCCAGGTTTTGGAGGAATTCATCCATGTTTTCCTTCGGTATGTGTTTAGGTTCATTTTTCACATTAGATATCTGATCCATTTTAACGTTTTTTCTTTTTTATGGGTGAAGAATGGGTTATCTTTTTCCATTTGTCCCACCACCATTTTTTTTGAAAGTTTATTTCTGCCCGAGTAATTTGAATGTGTGTGCTTAGTCACTCAGTTGTATCTGACTCTTTGCAACCATTTGGACTGTAGCCCACCCAGCTCCTCTGTCCATGGAAATTTTCAGGCAGGAATACCAGAATGGGTTGCCATTTCTTCCTCCAGGGGAATTTGAATACTACCATTACCAAAAAAATTTTATTTATTCGACCGCCTCGAGTCTTAATTGCGTCATGCAGGACCTTTTGTCGCGATGAACGGGCTCTCTAGTTGTGGCACTTGGGCTTAGTGGCCCCTCAGCATGTGGGAAATTAGTTCCTAGACCAGGGATCAAACCTGCGTCCCCTGAATTGCAAGGCAGATTCTTAACCACTGGACCACGAGGGAAATCCCTGATTACTACCTTTATCATCTGCTAGATTTCTGTGTGCAGTTAGGGATATTTCAGGACTTTGTATTTCTTGAAGTACCGATGGTTCCATCTGAGTTTTCATTAAACATTTATGTCTCAGAGGCTGTCATGTTCCAGGGTTTACAGCACAGAGGAATGTTTAGGCCTCCTACCCCTTTTGAGATGGAGGGATGTGGCCTTGTTATCTTCCTACTTGTGCTTTCTGAATTTTCCAAAATTTCTTGACACCAGCCAAAAATAGTTTTAGTCTTTAAGAAAAATTTAAAGGTATTATCAGTTTTCAAACAGCAAACTTTAGCTTGAATTTTTATTACCCACCTCCCCGCCCCCAAAAATACTGCCATTGATATTCTCCTTTTTCTTCATGTCCCCTCAATAAAAGATGTTTCTGAAAGCTGCAGATAATACAGGTGAAGAGAGGACAGTGGCAGGCCAGCCAGCCAGTCTTAAGAGGCCATCTGCTCTGGGCTCTGTTCTGCTTCCTATGGCTTTTAAGCACCACCACCTTCTTGTGTGTTAGCAAGTGTAAGGTACAGGGAAGCAGGAAGTGCAGGAGTAACATTTCTGAACTTGAATAATTGAGTAGCCTGAGTGCTTTATAGGTAACATTTTTGAAGCAGTGGTGCCCAACCCTTTTTGGCACCAGGGACCAGGTTCATGGAGGACAAACTTTTTCTACTGACTGAGGTGGGTGGTGGTTTCAGGATGATTCTCGTAAGGAGTTTGCAACCTAGATCCCTCACATGCACAGTTCACAATGGGTTTCGCTGTCCTGTGAGAATCTACTGCCCCCATTGATCCGACAGGAGGCGGAGCTTGGTCGGTAATAGGAGCGATGGGAGGCGGGTGTGAATACAGATGAAACTTGGCTCGCTGGCCCACTGCTCACCTCCTGCCATGCAGCCCAGTTCATCACCCAGTACAGGTCCATGGTCTGGGGTTGGGGACCCATGTTTTAAAGCACTCAATTCCTAGGGAAGGCTGACCCAGGGCCATGCTCACGTTCTCTCTCGCGCTATCCACCCTTCTCTCTGGGCTGGAATGGCCTCCCTTAGGGGGAATGACTGGATTCTTAATACTTTTCATAACATGGGGCTATAGTTTAAAAAAAAACCAAACCTGTAAGACTCATTTAGAGGAGACAGGACTCACATTGGACACGTGGTCTCTGTTTTTATCAAGTTCTATTTCAGGGAACATACTTTCTTAAGGAAAATCAGGACATGTAATATGATCTAATTCAACATGTCAAATCCTGTAAAGCTTTAAAAATGAAGCCAGGTTTAATGATAATCTTGACAAGTCACCTTTTTGGAATAGAAGAGAATTATATGAAGGTGGGGTATGGTTGTGTCTTTGCGACTCTATGGACTGTAGCCTGCCAGGCTCCTCCGTCCATGTGATTTCCCAGGCAAGAATACTGGAGTGGATTGCCATTTCCTACCTGAGGGATCTTCCCAACCCAGGGATCAAATCCGTGTCTCCTGCATTGGCAGGCAGACTCTTGACTGCTGAACCACCCAGGAAGCCCCGGGGTATGCCCCTTAAGTGTATTCAAATGCACAAGTAGTGTGACCATAGCAGACTCAAGAATTCTCCTGTTCCCCTGTGTATCTGTTAGGCAGGCATGTAAGTAACAGTGCTGTTTTGTGATCTAGTGTAACCCATGTGACTGCTTTGTTAGGATTGCTCTGCTGTCTGATGTACTCTTCAGTTAGGGTTGTTGTTTAGTCGTTCAGTCATGTCTGACTCTTTTCCGCCCCATGGACTACAGGGCGCCAGGCCTCCTGTCCTTCACTGTCTCTTGGAGCTTGCTCAGACTCATGTCTATTGAGTCAGCGATGCCATCCAACCATCTCATCCTCTGTCGCCCTCTTCTCCTGCCTTCAGTCTTTCCCTGCATCAGGGACTTTTCCAATGAGTCGGCTGTTCGTAACTCTTATCAAAATAAAGACCAGGGATTTTCATTGAAACTTGTTTGTTTTAAACACTTTTAGATTCGTGTCTGTCTGTGCACAAGGCTGGTACAGAAGATTCCTCTGAATAGGCTTGCTGTAGGTAAAGGTTTAGACTTCAGTTCACAGTGAGGTCTTTAACCTGCACCTCCAGGCAGCAGCTGCCTGTATTGTTTGATTGCTAGTTAAGTGTTAATAGAATTAAGAATGTTAAAATATATTTATAGGCTTAGTCTTCCAGTTACTCTCAGCACCTTTCATATTGCTCCTCTATTTGCATTTCAGTCTCACAGCCACCAGCACAGTAGGAAAGAGAAACCTGAGTCCCAGTCAAGCAGAAGCCGGCCTGGAGGCCCGAGTATCGGGGGAGATTTCTGACACTGAGCTTGAGCAGACAGATCCCTGTGCAGAGCCTCTCTCAGAGGGGAGGAAAAAGGCCAAGAAACTAAAAAGGATGAAGAAGGACCTTTCTCCGACAGGTTTGTGTTGAGTCTGACCAAGGGTCCAGAGCTGAGTCCTCTTCGGTGCTCTAGCAACTCTTATCTGGGGGGGAGAAATTACATCAGGGCTCCAGTTGATGGCCAAACCCATGTAGCCCAAAACGGGACCAGATGTTTTTTGGATCATTTTCATTTTAATTTGAGGAATCCCTTAACAGCCCTGGCTCTGGATAGCATGAGGCTTGGCAGGGGCCTCCTTGTTAAAGATGATCAGTTCATTTTAGTAACCTTCTCCCTCTCCTCCATTGTTTAGAGGTTTCCTGATGTGTGTAAAGTCGCCTCAGTATTTTAAATGTGTGTGTGAGTTTGTACAGAGCTCTACTCCTACACGTGTTATTTTCAGTAGAATTTTCACTGTTCTAGCCCAACCCCAGACAGCCTGAATTTCTCTTGTAAGCAGAGTTACATAAGAAGCAAAGGAAATGGGAAATGAACACATGTTGTGAACCCACTGTGTGCTAGACAGTGCAGTAGGAGCCTTCTCTCTCCTGGTTGAATTTCATTCTCACAACAGCTCTGACCTAGGAACTCATCCTTGTTTTAGTGATGCAGATGTCTGAGCTCAGAGTGGCAAAGAAATGCACATGTAGCTAGTAAGAAGCAGAGCAAGGACTTCCTTGGTAGTCCAGTGGTTAAGAATCTGCCTGCCAATGCAGGGGACACGGGTTTGATCTCCGTTGTGGGAAGATCCCACATGCCAGTGGGGACAAGAGACGCCACCACAATGAGAAGCCCATACACTGCAATTAGAGAGTAGTCTCCCCCAACCCTGCTGCAGCTAGAGAAAGCCCACACAAAGCAGTGAAGACCCAGCACAGCCAAAAAATTAATTAATTAAAAAAATTTTTTTAAATTAAGTATAAATAATTTTTTAAAAAGGAGTAGAAAAAAAACCAAAAGGAGAAAGAGAAGGTGAGCCAAGTCCCACATCCCCTCTGTCCCCCAGACATGCTTTGGAGGCCCCAGGAGCTCACCCAGCCGTTTGTGCTCAGACCTTCTGCAGGCCCGAGTGCTAGTCAAGAAAGGGGCTGTGGGGCAGCCAGAGCCTGAGAAAGCCCTGCCTAGGAGATCCGACCAGAACCTGCTCAGCAAGCTGTCACAGTGACAGAAAGGACAGCCACTGCTGACCAAGTGCTTGTAGAGGGCCCAGCGCTGCCCCTCACACTTACCTGAAACACTTTCCTTCAAATCTCTGAGGTGGGCATCATGGTCCATTTTACAATGAAGAAAACAGGGGCCTGAGAGAAGGCAGTGTCTTCAGCAAGTGTGTTGGCCAAGCTGGACAGCCGCATGTAAATCAGTGACATTAGAAGACTCCCTCACACCATACACAAAAGTAAACTCAAAATGGCTTAAGACTTAAGTGTAAGACATGGCATCATAAAACTCCTAGAAGAGAACATGGGCAAAACGTTATCTGACTTAAGTCTTAGCAATGTTCTCTTAGGTCAGTCTCCCAAGGCAATAGAAACAAAAGCAAAAATGAACAAATGGGGCCTACTCAAACTTAGAACCTTTTTACCGTCTGAGACAGTAGGGAAGCTCTTACACAGCAAAGGAAACTATAAACAAATTGAAAAGACAAAATCTATGGAATGGGAGAAAATGTTGCAAATGATGCAATTGACAGAGGCTTAATTTCCAAAATATACACGCAGCTCATGCAAGTCAGAAACAGAAAAGTACACTACCCAATCAACAAATGGGCAAAAGACCTAATTAGACATTTCTCCAAAGAAGGCATACAGATGAAAAAATGCTAGATATCACTAATTGTTAGAGAAATGCAAATCAAAACTACAATGAGGTATCACCTCACACTGGTCAGAATGGCCATCGTCAAAAAGTCTACAAATAATAAATGCTGTAGAGAGTGTACAAAAAAATTGGTAGGAGCGAAAGTTGGTATAGCCACTGTGGAGAACAGCATGGAGGTTCCTCTAAAAGCTAAAAATACACTTGCCTTGTGATCCAGCAACCTCACTTGTGGACATGTATCTGGAGAAAACTAATTCTAAAAGATACATGCACCTCAGTGTTCATAACCACACTGTGTACGATAACCAAGACATGGAAGCAGCCTAAATGTCTGTTGACAGATGAATGGATAAAGATGTGGTACATATATACATGGACTATTACTCAACCATAAAAAAGAATGAAATGATGCCATTTGCAGCAACATGGATGCGCCTAAAGATTATCATACTAAGCCAAATGTCAGAAAGAGAAAGACAAATACAATATGATATCCCTTCTATGTGGAATCTAAAATACAATACAAATGAGCTTATTTACAAAACAAAAACAGACTCACAGACATAGAAAACAAAGTTATGGCTATCAAAGGGGAAAGGGGGCAGGGGCGGGATAAACTCGGAGTCTGAGATTAGCAGATACAAACTGCTATATATAAAATAGATAAACAAGGTCCTAGTGTGTAGAATGGGGGGCTATATTTAATATCCTGTAATAAACCATAATGGAAAAGAATATGAAAAACATCTATATGTATATAGAAAACTGAATCATTTTGCTGTAGATCAGAAACTAACACAACATTGTAAACCAACTATACTTCAATTAAAATTTTTTTGAAGAAAGGAAGGAGGGAGGAAGGAAAAGGAAGAAAAGAGGAAACCGAGGCCTGAAGATTGTGTGACTTGCCCAAGGTCATGGAGCACTTAAGTCAGGCCTGCAAGAAAGTGGATATTTTTAAGTGCAGTCCTTGGAATGAGGGGATGCCTGAGAGGGAAGTTACTCCTCTCCTGTATCTGACTTCATGACAGTCACCCCCGTTAGCTGGAACCAACAGTCAGGTCGAAGGATAGGAGTGGAGCCCTGGAACTTGATTCATACCCAGGCCAAGAATCCATTGTGTGTTTCAGTTAATTCCTCTTTTTACATGTGGCTTGATCTGCCTGCAGGGCATTTTCTGAATCTCATTGATATTAATGAAATCAAAGACAGCAGAAATGTCACAGATGCCTTTTTATGCATTGTGCTGAAGCTGCACTTTAACTGAAAATGTAAATTCTTATTTGAAATCTGGACTGTGTGTTTTCACTGTCTCCTTGAATCTGTGAGTCTCCCCTCATTTCCCTCCTGTAAGTATTAGAGAAGTTTTTACTCTGTAACATTGTCTTCACCTCTGATGCCTTGTTGTCTCTCTCACATGTACCTGCTCCACAGATGTTAGATACTAAATGTTAGCGTGGCTTTCAGAGCTCACCCAGAGCATAACCAGGATCGGGGGGCTTTTCCCTCCTTGGATAGCTTTCCTTTGCTTCTCAATCTCCTGAATTTTTTAAATTATCTGTTACTTCTCAGGGACAGGATTTTAGGTTTTTTCCCTTCTGTCTCAGCACAGTCTCAAAGATATTAAACTACCTAATAATAGATTGCATTAATAGATTAGCTCCTTTTATAACTTTCATCATATTAAGTGAAAACTTTCTGTGAGTTATTTGGGGTTTTGAATTTATAACACCATCATTTAAATAGTCTCTTTTTCTCTCCCATTGACAGTAAAGCTGTCACTGCCACAAGATTTGAGCTTAAAAAAAAAAGATAGATTTTTTTAGTTCTTTGTCCTGCTAAAGAAGAAAGAGAAACATCTTGACAACTTTTAATTGAATCAGATAACTTAAGAGCAATGAGTTTTCTTCTGGAACACCATTCATTGGGTTAGATCTTCCAACATTGCAGGCCTGGAAGTTCCCTGGATCCTCTTTAGCTGGTTTGTTTTGAGCACATGGTCCTAAAAGTATCTGCAGGATGTAGGTCAAGATACCAGGTGCTGGGCCCAGCAGGTCAACCAATTTTGGTTGCTCGGTTACTTTAAGGAGTTCCTAAAATGAACAAGAGAAAAATTGATGTTTTCTAACTGTGGCTGAGAAGACTCTTGAGAGTCCCTTACACAGCTAGGAAATCAAGCCAGTCAATCCTAAAGAAAATCAACCCTGAATATTCATTGACAGGACTGAAGCTGAAGTTCCAATACTTTGTCCACCTGATGTGAAGAGCTGACTCACTGGAATAGATACTGATGCTGGGAAAGATTGTAGGCAGGAGGAGAAGGAGATGACAGAGGATGAGATGGTTGGATGGTATCATTGACTCAATGGACATGAGTTTGAGCACATTCCAGGAGATAGTGAAGGACAGGGAAGCATGGCGTGCTCCAGTCCATGGGGGTCACAAAGAGTTGAATGTGCCTGAGAACTGAACAGCAACAAAGTTTTGAGTCTGAAGGGTCTGTGTTAAACTCCCAAAGCTTCAGAGTATCCCAGGAGCCCAGAGGTGGAACTGGATTAGAGTGTTTGGTACAGTGTGGCTCCATTTGTCCTGCAGAGAAGGGTTCTAAGGCATCAAGCTGAGCATCCCCTCCTACTGGTGACAGTATCTTTTTTTTTTTTTTTAACTGTAAAGTGTCTCATCAGTAAATTTAATGATAAATTCCAGAGAACACACTATTATCACTAGTTTTCTTTTATAACAAGATCAAATGTTTTGGTGGTATATTTATCTGAGTAATTATTATTTTAAATACATCCTTCTCACTATAGATTAACCTTCTATGCAGGGATTTTGTCCTTATACGAATTAGATACTCAATAAACATGTGTTCAATAAATTGAATGCATGAAAGCATACAGTGTGATAACAGTATTTGCATGAATTTGTTTTATAAGGCCAGTGATGAAATTCTCAGCCAGAAATAACTCTTTCAGTGCTTTTGCATGCACGCATACTGAGTCGCTTCAGTCATGTCCAACTCTTTGTGACGCCATGGACTGTAGCTCGCCAGGCTCCTCTGTCCATGGGATTCTCCAGGTGAGAGAATACTGGAGTGGGTTGCCATGCCCTCCTCCAGGGAATCTTCCCAACCCAGGGATCAAACCTGCATCTCGGGTGTCTTCTGCGTTGCAGGTGGATCCTTATACCCACTGAGCCACCTGGGGAGCCATCGATGCTTTTGTC